GGACGAGTCTAGATGGTGCCGATTGCAGGTGGCAATTTCAAAGGCAGAAATCATTCTCTTATGGAGAGGTAGGATAATTAATTGAGAGTGGTATTCTCGACCTTCAGATATAAAATGAATCCCAACTCTTGTGAGAGGTCAAGCTCGACCGACGCAATTTAATGAAACATTGAATCTCTTAGCAAGCTTTTTTAGGAGGAATGTTCATTGTTTGAATATTTTGGGTGAAATGTTGCTGAGATTTTGGTGTATATAGAAATGTTTGGAAGTATTATTTGAGTGACTAGCAAAATGCAGAAAATGAGGTGTACGTGGAGCCTCGAACAAAAATTTGGCACGACTACGGCCTTCGGGCTAGCCAGTCTCGAGTCGTCATGACTTAGGAGCTCGGTATAGGGAGAAACTCATTTGAATTTTCGTTTGGTGCATTTGTTTAATGGTTGTTTGTAGCTGTATAGTATGATTTGTTGTAAATATTTGTTGAATTCATGGTTTTGTGAAATTCTGATTGACTGTACATTTGAGTAGGGGTATATGTGATTTCATATCGTGGTAAAGAGGCTTGCATGGTGATTGAGGTGTGGTAAAAAATCATGCGAACCAATTCAATCGCTTTGATTTATTCATCTATTGCTATCGAGATTGCAACTTGGATGATGTAGATAAAATACGACTGATGGAATTTGTTGAGTTCTTGAGGAAAATGCATGAGCAGGTGAGCTGGATATTGGTTATGGTGAGGAGTGGAAAGCATGGAGAAAACAGCAACTCAGGTCGTCGTGTACAAATGGGAAAGGGAAGTTGAAAAATATGCTTGATTTTTTATCTTGTTCGATATAAATATGCATTTGATTGGACTAACGAAAACGATCGATTATTATTCTATCTTGTGGTGTTTGGTGTGTTTCTTTTCGACCTCAGTGGCAGGTCGAAGCACTCGAGCTGTTCGAAGGAAAAAAAATTCACCATGATTAAAGCCGCGAAACTGGGTGGTCGCATGTATCGACCACTCCTTCGAGGGTGGGCATGTGTTCGACGATAAAAAAACACACCATGATTAAAGCCGTGAGGCTGGGTGGTCACATGTATGGACCACTCCTTCGAGGTTTGGCATGTATTCGACGACAAAAAATCCAACATGATTAAGGTCGTGTGGCTAGGTGGTCACATGTATCGACCACTCCTTCGAGTGTGGGCATGTGTTCGACGACAAAAAATCCACCATGATTAAGGTCGTGTCGCTGGGTGGTCACGTGTATCGACCACTCCTTCGAGAGTGGGCATGTTCTCGACGACAAAAAATCCACCATGATTAAGGTCGTGTGGCTGGGTGGTCACCTGCATCGACCACTCCTTCGAGGGTGGGCATGTATTCGACGACAAAAAATCCACCATGATTAAGGCCGTGAGCCTGGGTGGTCACATGCATCGACCACTCCTTCGAGGGTGGGCATGTGTTCGACGGCAAAAAATCCACCATGATTAAGGTCGTGTGGCTGGGTTGTCACATGTATCGACCAATCCTTCGAGGGTGGGCATGTGTTCGACGACAAAAAATCCATCATGATTAAGGCCGTGAGGCTGAGTGGTCACATGTATCGACCACTCCTTCGATGGTGGTCATGTGTTCGACGACAAAAAATCCACCATGATTAAGGCCGTGAGGCTAGGTGGTAACATGTATCGACCACTCCTTCGAGGGTGGGCATGTGTTCGACGACAAAAAACCCACCATGATTAAGGTCGTGAGGCTGGGTGATCACACGTATTGACCACTTCTTCGAGGGTGAACATGTATTCGACAACAAAAAATCCACCATGATTAAGGCTGTGTGACTGGGTGGTCACATTTATCGACCACTCCTTCAAGGGTGAGCATGTGTTCAACGACAAAAAAACTACCATGATTAAGGATGTCAGGCTGAGTGGTCACATGTATCGACCACTCCTTCGAGGGTGAGCATATGTTCGACGACAAAAATCCACCATGACTAAGGCCAGGAGGCTGGGTGGTCGCACGTATCGACCACTCTTACGAGGGTGAGCAGTGTTCGACGACAAAAATCCATCATTACTATGGCCTCCGTGCTGGGTGGTCGCCTGTATCGACCACTCATTTGAGGGTGGGCATGTGCTAAAAAAAACCCACTATGACTAAAGCCTTTGGGCTGGGTGGTCGATTCTAGTGTTGGGTCGTTGAAGAGACGAAGCTTATTGGAGACCTCGGAGGCAGGTCGATGGTTTGCACCAGTTTTGATCTTGTCAAAATTGCTTTTCGACCTCAGTGGCAGGTCGAGATGAAATTCATCTAGAGCAACACCCGGAGCTTATTGGAGACCTCAATGGCATGTCGATGGTATTTACTTGATTTTGGTTTTGTCGAATTTGTTTTTTCGACCTGAGTGCCAGGTCGATGGAGTTCATTTGATGCAATTCATGGAGATTATTTGAGTACCTCAGTGAAAAGTTGATGATCTTTACTTGATTTTGGTTTAATCGAATTTGTTTTTCGACATGAAGGTGGCGTCAAGACATTCAGTTTACGAGAGGATAGACAACAGTGCTGAATTTCAAATTTTGAACTGAGGGGCGACAGGACGAGGTGGTCGAAAAGGTTTATCTTTGAGTGGAATAAAGATCGAACATGGTGGTCGAGAAAAAACAGCAGGCGTGAGTTCAAATTTTCAAATTCAAGACTTTAGGGAGGGATCGAGAAAATATGTCAAAGTATCATGGAAGTCCAAGTAAGTAGGTCGAGAGATAGCAAAGGAAGGTCGACATTACAAAATTAAAAGCAACGGAATCTACTCTGGGAATCAAGGTTCAACCCCAGTGGCAGGTCACTCGATTTTCGACCACATTGGGCATTCGGCTTTTGGTGTTCGACCCTAGTGGCGGATCTCTTGATTTTGGACCTCATTGGTCATTCGACTTTTTGTGTTCGATCCAAGTGGCCGGTCCCTCGACTTTCGACCTCAGTGGTCTTTTGGCTTTAGTGTTCGACCCCAGTGACTGGTCACTCGATTTTTAACCTCATTGGTCATTCACTTTTGGTGTTCAACCCCAGTGACGGTCCCTCGATTTTCGACCTCAGTTGTCGTTCGACTTTTGGTGTTCGACCACAGTAGCGGGTCACTTGGTTTTCGACCTAAGTGGTCATTCGGATTTCAATATTCGACCCCAGTAGCTGTTTACTTTGTTTTCGACCTCAGTGGTGAGTCTTTCGGTGTTCGACCTCAGAGGCATGTCTTTCGATTTTCGACCTCAGTGGTCATTTGGTGTTCGCTTAATTGGAGGTTTGGTAACTATTTGGTAGTCGAGGATTTATTCAATTATAACCTCAGTGGTAGGTTGACGAAAGCAGCCCGAAGAGGAATTTCACGCTTGGATCAAGTCATGCTTACTCAGCCAGAGTGGGAGGGACTAGATGGCATAAGATATTATACTAGACCGATTTTAATGAATAAAAAAAGAATATATTGGAGAATAAGCCTACACATGGACTAGGACACGTGTCATGACATTGGACATGCCCAACTTGGGCCATAAGGTACACTCCCCCTATAAAAGGGAGCTAAGGTATCTCATTCTTCCACTCTCTACATTCATAATTATACTCTTGAAATTTGGAGATTTGGAGTGATATTGACTTGAGCGTCGGAGGCCCGACGCTGGGACACCTCCCGACGTTAGGTTCTTGTAGGTACGGAGGTCATTCGAGTTGAAGGAGCTCGGGAGAAATCAACATTCACTTCACCCTTATATATTAATTCAGAACATGCTGAGTCTAAGCAGCAAGTTCGCATGTTTCGGGATCTTATGTGGCAAAATTACATGATTAGTTATTAGGGAACATCCATTCAATCACAATTTACACTCTCTCTCATCGACATCACCCCACATCATCTTTCCACTAAACACCTCTCCATTTAAACACACACCCACATTCAATCGTTCATTTAAACACCAACATACGGAACCCATCACCCACTCATTCAATATTATTTTTTTATTTTATTATTAATAAAATAAATGTATTTCGTAATTAGAATATTTAACTTTAAATTTTAAAATACACTAAATATTATCAGATTTAAAAAAACATAAATTAAAATTACATAATAAAAAAAAAAGAAAAAAAAAACTAATTGAAAAACTAAAACAAAAAAAAAAATTGAAAACAAAACAAAACAAAAATAAACAAATTAATTGAAAACAAAACAGACAAAATAAAAAAAAAATAGACACCAAGTCGTTCAATGCAATAGACGGGCAAATGGACCCCCCATATAATGGATGCCTCACATCCATGTTGAACGGGAGTGGCCCGTTTAAACGGGCAAATAATTCCCGCGATGTAGGTGCCTTAAACTTGAGTAGATTTTAATTTACAAGTTATATTTATACATATAATATTAAAATTATAAGTTAGATCATGATATTATATTTTAAAATTTAATCATTAATTAAAACAAATAATACATAACGATTTGATTGCTTATGAAATCACTATACTAATAGCATGTAATAAATAATATAATTTTTATAATTTTAAGGAATCATTACTAATTAATTAACTAAAATATATTACTAATTTAAAAAAAAAAAATACGATGACATTAAAACAAATTCGTTTACTTACAAAAACAATTGCTTAATCGAAATATAATATTATTAATTTTAAAATAAATAATTTGAACAAAAAATTTTGATGATATAATTTCTAATGCTTATATAACTTTTAGATATTATTAAGTGTAAAATATAATTATTAATAACTATTATATAATACAATAAAAATATAATTATTATTCAATTAATATATAATATAACTTTTGTCTTAATTAATTAAATTTTATTTATTATATAAAATTTATTAAATTTTTATTAATGCTATACTGGAAATTACATATATACATATTCGACAGGCACCCAAACAACCAAGTAATAAGTGGTAAGAATCAAAGGGACCCAGGCGGATTTGAACCGCCACCCTCTCATTGCACTAGTGCAATTGAGCGCTCTACCAATTTTGAGCTTACAAGTCCATCCAACAATGTTTTTAATGTAACTAAATAAGTTAATTTCAATTACATTATCGGGCTAGAATGAAGACCAGTTTATATATGCAACCTCTCACGAGTACACGACACAACTTCCATCATCACAGATTAAATTCAATGGTCCATGATCAGATTTTTAATTAGATAATCAATAATGAATGCCATTTACCGGTCAGGTTTACATATTTCTTAGTTCCTATCTGTTTCAATCAATTGTAAAATAAACAATGAACACACTAACATTAGGAATGTCATTATTTTATTTTCCAACCTTTTTTTTCCCCCTCTTATTTTTCAACAACATCCATCTTGACATTTTCAACAACACAAGGCATAAATATGATTTATACTTCTTAAACCAATTATTAAATTCACATTGTTGACATCAAATTCTTTTAGGAATCCAATAACAGTTAATAAATATATTGCAAATATCAAATTCTTTTTTGTCAATTAGACCTTTAATATAAATTTTATTTAGGCCTCCTCTCATTACCAGTTATTTCAAATACAATTGATAAGTTATTTCAAATACAATTGAGTTTAACATCACTACCTAAGCGTTTCCTGATATTAAAGTTGTTTCAAATTATTTTAGATACTGGTTTCAACATTACTACATAGGCAAGTATGTAAACTACCCAACCATTTCTTAGGATTACCCAATTTTAGTAAAATTTAAAAAATCCTCAACCTGGTTGCTGCCCAATACAAAGGAACCCAGCATTAGAGTACAGCTTGCACACCTCTGTAAAGTAATTCCTTCCAATCCAATAAACCTGTACACAATGCTAGAAAATATACCAACCATTCAATTGTCAAAATAATCAAAAATTTCATAACCCAAAAGAAATATGACAACCAAAGCAGCCAAGTACAGATTTTGAATACTATAAATAGCAGCAGGAATTTTGAACTAATGCAAAACAAATTAATTAAAAAAGTTAACAGAAAGATAATGAACTTGAACTTGCAAGAAAGGTCAACTTTAAAATGCAATCTCAAAACTCCCAAAACCAAGAAGATAACCAGGACAAAATAAAACAGACCTGCATTGTAATGAAAATGGAAGATAATATTTTCCAATCACTTCACAGCACCCTTGCAATATATGTAGAGAAACCATCACCCCTCTAGAAAGTTGACGGCACCAATATGCCATAATCAAACCATCACTAAACATGATTTAACAGTGGACACTTACAATTTATGTACAGAATCTTCACCATTTGCGGAAAATGATAAAGGATCATAGATAATTCTAGATTGGCACAGAACACAAACATACAGCCAAGTACAACACCACCACTCACCACCATCAGCAACAGGGGACACTGAAAAAGCACCAATCATTCCAACATCAAGTTCATAAGTCAAGATCATTGAATTATCTTCAGCAATCTTCACAGCACAGATATGCATCAACCATTTGCGTCAAATCTTGAGCTGGTAAGTTCAAGTGACCCCAAAGAAAGCATGCTGCCCAATTCATCAACCATGCTTCTTAGGAAAACGCTACACAGCCACTACATGGCTCTACATGACATGACTCAACTATTACAACTTTATTTCATACATCAACCAAATAAGAGGCTTCACTAATACATGAATCCCCTCCTCACATCATAAGCAAGACAACTATATAAGATGAAATCATATCATTTCCTTCAACAAGAAATATAACAAACGTGAAAAGTTGAGATATGAAAGTATGCAGACAAATTTATGCAATAATATATAAACTAGAAGATGTTGAAAATTGATTCTGCTTTGGTTAAACTGAATTTGTTTAGAGCATGTTTCCACAAACTTAATTTACAGTACTATACAATTTGGTTAACATAAATTCCCAGAAATTAACTTTTAATGGTTACTTCATCGCTTCATAAAATGCCCAACCGTTAATTTTCAATGATGCAAGCCGAGGAGAGAGCCTTCTAAGCAAATGTCATAATTCCAATACAAGAGGCAATGTCATAAATTCATTTAGGTTGTTTAAGATAGATTTTTATAAAACAAATTATCATGATATCATATTAGATTATACTTGCCACATACCCATTGTTTAACCAAGACCAGCAAGGTTGAACTAAAGAAGATGCTAATAACTCTAAACACTTGCATCAACAATATTTATATTGTCTGATGCATATGTTAGCAACATGTGTGTTAAACTTATGGAATAGAACATTCATAAACTAACATAAGGATCAAATGTAAGAATTTAATGTTTAAAACTAGATCATAACCCGTAGAATATGCATAGTACCATACTAGAGCATCAATTAGTGCATCATGTGTCCGTACCATTAGGTGACTATTGATACTTGAATTAAAGTTATAACAAAGTGATAAAGAAACTATAAACAACAATAGCAGTAGAAACTAAGTCCAAATTATCAATTGATGGCAACATAAAATGGTACCTCTGCGGTAAATTCTTCATGTGATTGAATCCTCATATAGCTTGATGCCAAGGTTCCACAAATGTAATTGCATATTCTATGTCCATGAATAGTTGGGTTGATGGTTGAGTAATATTCTTTAGAGCAACAATTTTCTAGAAACATGGTCCAGATAATGGATTGATATCTGCAATAAGGTGTGCATGTGTGCAGAAAAAAGAAGACAACACCGTCAGAGGGGAGTGCCGAGCAAAACACCCCGTACCATCTCCCCTCTAAAACAAAAATAGTATTTTTATTAAATGGTGACCTGCCATGCGAGCGCACCCATCATGGCAAAGGTCCTATGGACAACAACAGCTCACCTCACCAACTCAACATCTCTTTTTTTCAGATCCATACTCTATTTTTTTTACAATAATAATTACCCTCACCATTAATCAATACACTTTAACAAGACACGATAAATATGCAGTTATCATTAGTTGAATAACAGAACACTTCCCTTTAAAAGTCTTACAGTAGGAGGAAATCCTGGACTGCGCTTTTATCACCACCAAGACTTCAGCTTCCAGAAAGATGATCTTTTCAACGAACAAATACATGAGATCTTCATATCCACAGATCCATAAACATCAACAGATCAAAACAGTATCGAGAAGATCCACGCTGTAGACAACACCTACATAATCAGATAAAGAAACTGAGCAACATAACAAACGAAACCACAAACAAACGGGCCAAAACCTCAATGATAACCTCACCCCTTGAAGAAATCTATCCAGGGTAGAATACAACCAGATCCAACGGGTTTCGATTTAATATAGATTATAACAGCTGAAATCAAAAAAGGAAAAAATCAATAGGCATACAAGTGAAAGGATAGGGACAAAATAAATCACAGCATCAGATGCATGAATTACCTGTGTCAATCTTTATAATTCGCTATCAAGGCCACGACCGTCGCAGGCGACGACCGGTCGGCTAAGTGGCCATGGAAAAATCATGATATGCCAAAAAAACCATAGCCAGAACGTAGATAGCCTCACGATCTATTATCATCCTAAGGCGGATTAACGATTAGAAGAACTGATAAACGAAAATGGAGGAAGAAGACAAGAAGTGAATATTGATAGCCATAGAAATGAGAAATGAGGCACCGCTGAAATGATAAATGATAAGGAATATTTATTTGGAGAGGGTGATGATCGAACGGCTGAAAATGGGTCTCTGGATTATCTTTTACGGTTGGAAATGCGTTGACGGTGTAGATATGACCGACTGGAATTATTGTATTTTTATGCCTAAAGTTCGGTTCGTTGGGATAATCAACGGCTGTGGTTAAATCTTTGCATGGGGAAGGTTCTGGATAAGCTGGATTGACGGGGCATGGAAAAGTATATTGCGTGTTTCACGTTTGCACCTTACATTTTGTTCACGAGTAACTAGTTCGTGATTCGTGTCATGTAGAAACAATATTATGATTATATTATAAATTAAATATATAAATAACATTAATTAAGATTTATTTATTATTTTTAAATTATATCAATTTGTACACGGTCCGACTGCATAGACTGAAAACCGGTTTATAACCAGTCTAGTTCGCTTTAATAAAATATTTGCTATCTAATTCTAATTTTCGACAACACCGGTTGAACTGTTAGGATCGATACGATTTTCTAAATAAATTTTGTTACATTTAAAATAATTTTAAATAAAATTATCAATTTAAAGAAAAATGGAGAATTATCAATTGTTTATCAATTAATTTAAACATTTGAATTTATAACTTGTTTAAATATTTAAGTAACAACTTTTACTTTTTTTTTTTAACGAAACGATAGGAGATCTCATAACACAAAACACCCAAATGGTACATAGTCCAAATACAACAAGAAAAAACCCCCAAAGCCGAGGGCATAAGCATAAACCAGGGAGAACTACATGATACATGTAGCCTAAATCAAGATCCCAAAAATAAGCTAAAGGCAGTACAACAACTGGACCCTTTAGCCAGTACAAATCATAACCAAATGCAGATCAATGAAAATACAAATCTAACTCACTAGCAGACTATCATACATAAATCTACTCCACTGAACTGCTCCTGCAAGCAAACCTAGATCAGGTTCTGTGACATCTTCTGCTAGTAACTCCTCTCAGCTGCACATACTCCTGCCATTCACTCATAGCACCTTTCACAGTCCCAACTTATGTCCTCGAAACCTTGTCAAATAACCACAAGTTACTAGATTTCCAAAGCCACCACAGGATATAAGTTGTGAGCTCAATCTTGGCAACAGAAATCTCAGACCTATCCACACTGCAAATCCATCCCCACCAATCTAAAAATTTACATGTATCTGTATTTAACCCATCCCAACAAACTGGAGCATGTTTCCATATTCTCTTAGCTCTGTCACATGTTTGAAAAAGACATGCTCAATTGTTTCCTCCTCCAATCCACACCCTTGGCACAACACATCGATTCCAATGCCTGTAACGCCCCACTTTTATTTGCCGAAATTCAGAATAAATTTTTTAAAATTTATTTCAAAACACTTGAGGCGCTACTCATTTCCAAAAACAATTTCAACAATATCATAAATGCAACTCCCAAACGGGTTCAATAATCATACCAACACCCAAACCGGGTTCATAAATAACATCAACTCCCAAAACTGGTTCGTCAAACTCATAAATACTAGGGAGTACACTCCCTCTCAATAATCCGGTACTCATCGTAAACCAGAAATGCATAAATGATACTAAGCAGTTTAAACAGCAGAAGTAATCAGTAACATGACCACCACTCGCCTCCCTCTGTCGTGCCCGCATTTACTAATCTGCATCCATGAAGAGCAGGTGGTGATGAGCACAATAGGAAAATCGAGGTGCTCACCGCTATGCAGTAATTAATATCCAATTTCATAAAATAAAGCAGGTATGGTCGCAGTATGAACATAAATCAATTAATATCCCATCTCATATCCCAGAGTCAACTCTCATGTGCACACCTATATCAATAGACCACTGCTGATACACGTATCGAAATGCCACGCGGGTCTTACAATCGATGCCCATACAGTAGGAGTAAATCCACCCTGAATGCCCGGAACCTAGCCTTCGGACATACGTCGAGGATCACCAGCCAAGGCTCACGCTGTAACGCCCCGTTCGATTTATAGAATTTCTCGGAATATTCTATTTATCGAATACTATTTATGCGGTTATATTTATTTTATTGGTCGCGGTGTCGACTTAAATAAAAGGTTGGAATACTCGATTGTTTTATTGAAAAATGTTCGTCGTTCAACGATTTCGGTTTAATCGCGTGAACCGATTGTAAACCCGTTTGACTATGGAATTTTTGAGGATTATTTATTATTATTATTATTATTATTATTATTATTATTATTTATATTTATGTGTTATTATTATTATTATTTATTGAATGCTATAAATTATTATTTGTCGAATGTGATTTATTTGTCAAATTGATTAATTATTTTAATATTAATTAATTGCCTATTTGTCGAAGTGTTATTAATTAATTAAAATGTGTGTTTGTATTTTTACTTATATTATTATTATTATTTTAAAATTTAATTTGTGTGTATTATAAAAATATATTATAACCGGTTATGTATTTATTGTGCGATTTGATTTTCGAGCAGATCCGATTTAATCTATCGGGCCCGAGGAAAACGAAAGCTGAGCCCGAGAGCCGATACGTTTCATTGAACCGAACCCGCGAGCCCGATAATCCGGCCCAAATTTGAGCCTAACCAATTCAGCCCATGTGCGTTGTGTGAGTTTCTTTTGTGCAAGACTTTGTACCCTAGTCTTTCTTTTATTTCGTACACGTGAATCAGATGAGCAGAAATCCCGCAGTCTTTTTATTTTCTCTCTGTTAGCGTCTCCTTCCTAGTCACAGAAGAGATTAATCTCGTTCTTCAAATCTGATCGATCCCAAATCCCGTCATCGCATCATCATCCCTCTCTCTCATGATTTTGATCGGCCATCATCACCTTCCCTCCGTCATCACAATCCCGTCATCTCATCTCCTCCGCCATCATCTCCCCTCTGCAATTTCCAACATCGTAGCACCATCATCCTCCTCGTCGTTATCACCCTCCGTCATCTCTGTCGCCAAGAACCAGATCCGCCAGCGACCCCCGTGCGAATTTTCTCCGGCGACTTGCAGCCCCTAAGCCACCGCGGGCCAGCAGCGAACTCCGGCAGCCTCCTTCCGTCGAGAACCAGCCCCCCTTGCTGTGAAGCTCCGCCTCAGCAGCCTTCGACGCATGACCAGTCCCAGCAGCAACCCGACGAACTCTGGTAATCCCTCCGTCGTTGCAAGCCGCGAGCTTCCATCGACGAGTACGTGAGCCAGCCTCCTCCGGTGAACCTTGAACGCTGCGCAGCTCCTTCACGATCGAGCCGCCGCTGCTCCTCCTTTCTGCGAGATGAAGCTTTCCGTCAAGCCTCGATCCGCCTTCGCATGCCGTTCGTTCACCTTCGTTTCGTTCGAACGTTCATTCCGAGAACGGTACAAGGCTCGACTCGTCTCGTTTAATTTTTGTCCCGTTCATAATATGTGTTTATTTGGTCGTCGAATGTGTTATGTGAATTCATGTGATAATGCCTAAGTTGTTTAGTGTTCATGCCTAAGTCGTCAAATATATATGTGTTCATGAGAATTTTGATATATATATATATATATATATATTTGGCAAATTGGATATCAAAGTGATTGCCGTCACTTTGAATTATTGTCGAACTGAATATTATGTGGTTCGTTTCATGGAAATCCTGGAGTTATAGGTACTTGAAGTTGTCCTTGATCTGTTAGTTTTGGTTTGAGGTCGTTTAGAGTTGTATTTTGAGAGATATGACTTTTCGAAATCGAGCATGCTGCTGAACCGTAATAAATTCACAAAAAATCTAGTTGTTATCCATTTGAGCTGAATTTTTGATATGCTATGCCTCTGAGTATGTTGAATATGTGTGCTAAGCCCCTTATTTTATTTTTGAATTTTTCGAGTTCAAATGCTTAAAACGGTTTCTGTGCAGAAACTTGTAAAATTCATTAAAAATCGTACACTTGGAATTTTGAGCTGAAACTTTCAGGAACCTGTTATTTTGTGATGTTTTAGGTTGTGTAAACATTTCAGATCAAAATAGGAAGTGTAGCTATGCGAACTGTTAAACGCTGCTTTTGGCGTTGTTTTTGCCTTAATTATTTAAAAATGTTCCCGGATGAATT